CCCCAAAACCCCAAAACCCCAAAACCCCAAAACCCCAAAATATTTAATGTAATAGAATTTTGAAATTACTCAAAAGTCTAAATGGTAGAGAATATTCCTAGGTACCAAGTTTATCTTCTAATGCTTGGCATGACTTTTGCAGGAAGTGCTTCAACAATAACTCAAAAACTGCAAAACAGTCAGATGTATTTTAACGACCAAGAACAGCAAAGAGTAAAATATCAGCATCCATTCTTTCAGACATTTGTTATGTTAGTAGGCGAATTAGTTTGATTGCCATTATTCTATCTCATGAGATGCAACGAAATAAGAAGGTATGGCGAGAAAGAAAGTATCCCTTCTTATATCTCTGCACAAGAAAGAGGGCTTAATATGAAACCAAGCAAACTATGGCTAATAATCCCTGCGATTTTTGATTTGCTAGGATCAACTTTGTTATTTATATCACTCACAATGATCTCAGCAAGTGTTTATCAAATGTTAAAAGGAGCTTTGGTTTTCATTGCTACAATCTATAGCATAATTTTTCTGAAGAGAAGATACCATCGTCATCATTGGACTGCCCTCTTCATTGTCATCACAGGTGTAATCATCGTTGGGGCTAGTCCAATCATATATCCTGAAGAGGACAGCCAAACAGAAGAGATAGGGTAAGGTTTATCATTTGCAAGTTTATATCTCACATTTAGAGCTGGGACAATAATATTTGGTATTATTTTAGAAGTAGTTGCACTTCTTTTTATTGGAGGAAACTGGATCTCAGAAGAAATCCTTTTCCAATTCTACTATCTTCATCCCATCGAAGTAGTAGGATGGGAAGGATTTTGGGGAGCTCTCATGTATTGTTTTATTCTTATCGGATTCCAATTCATCCCTTGTCATAACACCAAAATTTGCAGATATGGAGTGATGGAAGATACCATTCATGCTTTTTATGAGTTTGGTCAAAATAATCTTCTGTGGATGTTTGCTATTTTGCTCATCGTATGGACTGCATTGTTCAATATTTTTAATGTTGCAGTGACAAAGTATGCAAGTGCTGCTCAAAGATCAACAGTTGATACTTGTCGAACAGCTCTTATTTGGGCTTTCTTTATTTTCTACACAGGTGAAGGGCATGAAAGGTTCATTTGGCTAGAACTTGTTGGTTTTACTTTGCTCATCATAGGAACTCTGATTCATACTGAAGTAATAATCTTCCCATTCTTCGGATTTAACAAAAATACACAAAAATCGAAAGAAGATATGACGAAACAGAAGCATAATGTGAATGAAAGCGATAGGGATAAAATTTTATCAGAAGACACGTATAGATCTTAAGAATTTTCAATTTAAAAGAAGAAATTTCCAAATAACCTTAAAATACTTTTTCAATACAACTAGAATAAAAATTTCAAAATCACAAAATGTATTTATCTCTGTTTCAAATACCCTTAAAATAAATTTTGTCTTGCCTCAAAATCTTTAATATTAATCGAGCAATAAATTGGTTATAGATCTTTCAATATTTTTATTAAGGCAAGGGGTTTTGGGGTTTTGGGGTTTTGGGGTTTTGGGG